GACCGGGGATAGGAAGCGGCTGGGAGCTGCTGATCGCGGCTGCGGTGGCCGGCGGGACCCTGACTGGCGGCTCTCCGAGGCCCTGCGGTGGCTGCAGGAGCAGCGTGATGGCTCCCAGCTGCCGGGGCCAGGCCCCGAGGCTGAGCCAAGTCCCCAGGCAGGAGCTGACGTTTTGCCTGGAGGCACGACTTCGCCTGCGTCCGGAGGGCATCAAATCTACGGCTCAGCCCAAGCTGCGTGGCTCAGTGATTGAGCATCAACCTAAGAACCAGGAGGTCACAGTTCGATTCCCGGTCAGGGCACAGGCCCGGTTTGCAGGCTCGATTCCCAGTGGGGGGCGTGTAGGAAGCAGTGGGGATGGAGCCTGCAACCCCAGCCTGTGCCCTGACTGGGAATCAAACCCTGACCCCCTAGGTTCATAGGTCGACCCTCAACCACTGAGTGGACCTTTCTGAGTGACTGCGGTGTGCAAGGCGCGTGCGAGGAAACCGAGGCCACGGACGAGGGCACGTCACGCCTGAGCCCGCTCCCAAGTCCTGAGCTGAGACACCGCCAGCTACCGCCTAGATGCCCGGAGGGTAGCAGAATCGCCTCTGAGCAAGATGCCTGCCCCCAGGGGGAGCCAGACCGGCGGGCTGTTGGCCAGCAAGGCCACACTGGCGGTTCCCGATCCCCAGGCTCCCAGCATCCTTACCTGTGGGGAGTGACGCCGGGGCCACGGAGATCATAGGCCTGCTGGGTGCCTGCCTGGCGGGGAGCTCCCCCCACACCGAGGCCACCGCAGTCCCTTCTGTGTCTCCAGGGAGGAAGCCTACGAGGCTGTGACGGGCCAGCAGCTGCCTGGTCAGGGCCCGCGGGGCAGGGAACCCCAGCCGCCTGGGCTCCTGTGCCAGGGCCACCCGTCCCGGAGCGGCCGGGGCGGCGAGGGTCCAGTGAGGCTTTTCGTGCGAAGTGCCCAGCGCAGATCTGGGGCCCCAGGTCCCCAGCAGCAGTGGCTCTGCAGCAGCCGCCCTCTCCCCGCATTGCCCCGCCTCGCCCCCCGGGTCCCGGGGCGGCCATGACCGCGCCAGCTGCTTATGGGCAACAGCTCCCTGGTGCCGCGCGTCCCCGAGGGCGCGGTCGCGTGTTGGGCGTCAGGCTCCCGGGTGCCAGGCCGCTGCCATCTGCCCGGCAGAGCGCCAGGATCACCGGGACCTTCTGACCAGGAGGGCCGTGGCTGGTCCCACGCGCGGCCCCTCGCCCACCCCGGCCTTTGGCCTGAGCCAGCGAGTGGTGTGTCTGCGGAGACCAGGCACGCGGTTATTTTCCTCTTTGGGTCTTTCATGGAGCGCGTCTCCGAGTCCTTGCATCTGTGGGCACCGGGAGGGCAGGCCCCCAGGCGGGTGGCTGGCGGCGGAGGCCCCATGTGCTGGAAACACCTTGAGCCCCTTCTCACCCCCAAACTGTAGCAGGCGTGCCAGCGGCGGGGTCCCTCCCTTTTCCTCTTCTGGGGTCCTGCCCCCACTGAC